GCGACCATTTGACACCGTTTGTAGCAGTTGGGCCAATAGATTTGGCAAAGATACGGCATGGGCAAGAGGACAGAGGTAAGTTTCTAAAACCTTTATTTTTTTGTTTCTTTTTGACGTGGCACAGATGTCAACATATTGCTATTCCAAACTAGTTATCAGAGCTTCATATTCCGCCTCGTTATTTGTACAAGGGTCCGATAAGCTGTAAGAATATCGTAGTATTGCTTTATCAGGGGTTATGAATTCCAAACCAACTTCAACTTTGCCGGGGAGAAGACATTTTGGTTCAATATCTCTTTGGAAAGAGGCCGCACCATCAAAATATAACTCCCAAGCGTGTCTTTCATGGTCATCCAAATTCATTATTTGTTCATCAGGAAGATCATCATTCAAGGGAGATCCTTTCGATATTTGATGTGCTGCTAGGAAGTCAGCAAGAGCTTGTCCTTTCATAGCACGTTGGGGAATTAAAGTGATATCGAATTGAAGTAGTATCATGGCTAAACGTTCTGACAGTGTTGGACGGGTCATGAGGTACTGAAGGGGATTGACCTTAGAGATCATATTGACTTTATGAGAGAGCATGTAATGCCTAAGCTTTTGAACAACAAAGATGAGGCATAAGCAATGCTTCTCAATAGAAGGATAGTTCATTTATGTAGGAATCATACGTATGCTCAAGTAGTATGAGACATTCTCTTTTCCTTCATTATTGGTTTGGGCCAACAATGCTCTAAGAGACTCATCTGAGGCTGCAGTGTAAAGAATCAATAGCCTTCCCGGAATAGGAGCGACCATAACTGGTGGTGGCACGAGATAGCATTTTATACTATCAAAAGCTTTTTGGCAGCTATCATTCCAATAGAATTCTGAGTCTTTCTTTGAAAGGGCTGCAAAGGGTTGGCATCTACCAGACAAATTAGATATGAAGCGTCTTAGATATGCCAACCTAACTTGGAAAAATCTTAGTTGATTAAGACTTCTAGTAGATTTCATTTCTAGAATCGTCTTGATTTTAGTAGGGTCAATTTTAATGCCATGATATCGAACAACAAACCCAAGAAACTTCCCTGAAGTCAGCCCAAAAGCACACTTCAAATGATTCATCTTGAGGTTGTACCAACAAAGCCATTCAAATACAACCCTTAAATCAAACAAGTGATCCCCTCTTTCTTTGCTTTTGACCATGAGATAATCAATGTAACAATCAACATTGTCATGAATGAGTTCATAAAAAATTATGGTCATTGTACGCTAGTATGTTGTACCAGCATTCTTAAGGCTAAAAGGCATGACCTTATAGCAGTACATTCCAATGGGTGTTCTAAAAGCAATATATTGCTCGTCCTCCGCGACCATTTTGATTTGGTTGTACCCCGAGGATCCATCCATAAAGGAAAAGAGACTATGAGAAGAAGCAATGTCTTTCATGAGTTCAGGAATAGGTAATGGGAACTCATCTTTATGGCATGCTTTATTTAAGTCTCTAAAATCGATGCATACGCGAATTTGTCCATTCTTTTTCTTAACAGGGACAACATTAGCTAACCAAGAGGGGTATTTTTCCTCTCGAATAAAGTCGTCTTCAATTGAGTTTTTCACTTCTTCAATCACTTGTTGTTCAATTTTCAAATGCATCCTTCTAGAAGCTTATTTAACTGGAATAACATTTGGTTGAATGGCAAGTTTATGGACTACTATATTTGGATTTAATTCTAGTATTTCATCATAACTCCATGTAAAATAATCCTTAAATTCTGGCAAGAGTTGTACCATATCATCGACATCATTTTCGTTTAACAATGCATATATGAAAGTGGGGTGTGAATTTTCTTCAGTGCCCAAATTGATTTCTTTAAATTCATCAATTGTTGATTTGATTTTTTCTTCAAATTCAGGGGATGCATCCCTAATTTGAAGGTAATCTAAGTCATTGGTAGTCTCTAAACAAAAATTATTGCGTTCTCCTACCTGACGTAGAGATGCGTCCTCCCAGAGCTAAAATTGTGCTAAAAAATGAGAAATACCAAGCAAATACCGAGTAATACCAAACAACAACGAGGAATATTATCATGTGAAGACCAATACCGAGTTATATCGAGCTATACCGAGCAATACCGAGCAATACAAAAAAATACCTAGTTTTTCCTAGAGAAAACTCGGTATGTGCTCGGTATTGCTCGGTATAGCTCGGTATAACTCGGTATTGGTCTTCACATGATGATATTCCTCGTTATTACCAAATAATACCTAACAATACCGAGCAAAAACCGAGTTTTTGGCGGTGGGAGGACGCATCTCTACGTCAGGTGGGAGGACGCAATAATGTTTCCTAAACATGACCTCCCAACAATGTCGGAGGTCTCTGTGAAGATCATATCAACCTCCAGATTGTTAGTGACAACCAAACAGTAATCATCATCATCCATTGGCCCGACAGTACCAAAGCCAACACCAATCTATTTATCTTCACTTTATATTTGGACTTCCATAGATTTTCAAAGTTCTGAGCTTTGCCCTTGGACCACATAGAAGGAGCTAAACCTCTTCCAATTAAACTTTTGACACCAGCAGGATACCAATCAAAAGGTAGTTCTATCATTTCATTCAATGAAAGATCCTCAAGTTCTACACCCACTTTTGAACTTGAGGGTTGATGTGCTTTATTAAAGACACGCCCTTCCCCACCTCTTCTTCTAACTTAGGTGCAACACATACATTTAAATCATCCACTATACTTTCAAACAAGGAAGTTAAACTCTTTGCAAACTCATTCAACTTTTCATATGTAGTGAAATCAGACATCTCGTTTGGAGAGGTATCTTCACCACGTGGGAGATTTTCTTTAATGTTCCAAATAGGCTTTTCAGTTATTACCCATTTTGAAGCTGCATCTCTGTTTAATTCATGGTTCTTGGTTGAACTGCCCATCACACTTGACTTAGCCTTTGAATTGTACCCTGAACTTACATGGGTGATGGGCCTTCATGGAGTAGGTGGTGGAGATGGGATTGTGGTGGCCCTCATCCTCCACTCATCATGACTTCTGCCTCCTCTGCCACGATCTCTTCCGCGGGCACGCTGTGTCATCCTACCTCCTTGTCGTGCTGAAGAAGCTGCAGGATTCCATCTAATCTTTTTCTCAAGTTCCTCTTGAGGGAAGTCTTGGGCAAGTGTTGGAGATTTTTCTTCTAGTGTATGTGTTCCCACTTGATATTCAGTTGGCACCACAGATCTACAAAACATTGACAACCTCTTTGGAACATAGTAAGAAGCATCTTCGTATTTCCCGACTTTATGTACACTAAATGATTTCAAATCTCCCTTTATGCAGTATTCTACGCAATTCCGTTTATATTTCATACATTGTTGTAGAGAGGAAGGAACCATTTTCTATTCATATAGCCAAGGCCTACCAAGAAGTGTTTTAAATGAAGTTTCAAAATCAATGATATGGAATTTAGCTTCAGTTCTCAAATCCCCCATCAAAAGTGAAAAAGTAACGGAGCCTAAAGCCCTTTGCCCCTTTTCATTGAAGTCACGCAACATCATTTTGTCAGAACTTAATTTTCGCGTGTCAACATTGAAGTGGGTTAAAGTTTTTAGGCTCATTATGTTGATCTATGCACCTAGGTCAACAATTACTCTATTCAACTTGAAGTTATCAATATCAACAGTTATATAAAGTGAACAATTATGATCTGAAGTACTTAGGAGTAAATCCTCGTCAGAAAAGGTTACTCCAGGTACTTCTTTAAAGTGTAAAGGCTCTTCAAAGAAACACTCTGCGAGTTGAGCTAAACAAATTTTAGGATCAAGTAGAGCCTTGATTAAAGCCTCTCGCATTTCAGGAGAAAGTACTAGTGCATCATATATACTAGGCCTCGCAGGGAGTATCCTAAGGTGAGCTAATACATTATAGTCCACTTTTGGTAGTCCACCACCCACTTGCTCTTGTACAACAAGTGTTGGTGGAACCACACCCTCATTTTAGCTGATGAGTTCTTTTCCTTTATCTTTCTTGGATGCCATTGGAGATGGTACAATACGACCACTTCTGAGATTTATTTATGTTATTTGTTCATGCTCAGAAGTTAAGGTCACATCAACCAAAACTTCATAATCTGATTCTTCCTTTGCTTGAGTTATCTCTAAGTCAGGTGACTCGGGCTCAATGATAATCTCTACTCCCTGCATTTTGTACAAGGGTAGATCATCATCAGAACTTGGTTCACTTGATTCAAAAATTTGAGAAGATTCAATTACATGTTCATTATCAGATTCAGAATGAACAAATTGCACGTACGTGGAAGGATGGTTCATTTCATTAACACCTTTCGAAACATACATGAAATCAGAAAGAGTGATAGGTTTAGGGGATTTCCCCTTACTCTTTGGAAGGATAACCTGTTTGGCTTTAAAAGTTGGTTATTCCTTTTCTTTTCCCTTCACCATTAAAACTCTCTTTTCATGATGTTTCAAGGGTGAAGGACTCATTGAGTTACTTAAGGGAACTCCAAATGAGGCCATTTTGGTGGGTATTTGAGTTCCTTTTGGAAACTCCAACGGGGTATTAGATAATTTGTCTAACATTTTTAGTGAAGATTTGGACAAAGACAACTCCCAACCCTCTGCATCTGTTAAGCAAATCAACCCTACCTTTCCGACTGGACACTGCTGAAGAAGAAACTGCAATGGCTGACTCTACTTTTTTCCCTTTGGTAGGAATTACTTCCATATGAATAACCTTAGCAGATCCCTATGATGGGTTTGCTAAGTATGCATAAGGAAGACCATCCTACCAGACTTATACTCATTTTCAACCCAATCTTTAAAGACATAGCAATCCTCTAAAACATGACCCAAACATCCTATGATAAGAGCAATATTTTGGCTCATTGCTCTTATACCCATCTGCTGGTCTTTTGGGTTTGAGGAGTTGAAAATTATCTTCTTGAATTAATGACTTAAAGATCTTCTTTATAGCATCTCTCCTAAAGGAATACCTAAAAGGCTGCTCACAAACTGCCTGAAGAGAAGAGTATCATTGCTTCCCACATTACAACACTTAACTCTAAAATGAGCTAAGTGCCGGCACGGTTTTCCCACTCCATCAAAATGCTTATAGGAAGGGGCAACAAAACCATTGGGGTACTGCACCAAGTCAAACTCCTCAGGATAAGGTCTTCCTCTTTAAATAGAATGATTCCCCTTACTATGGGCCATGGACTCCTTAACCTGCTGACTAATAAAATCCTTCAAATCTTCCTTTGAAGGATGGATATTTATTGATCCTGACTCATTCTTTTCTTGACTCCCAATATCCTCATCAATCTGTACTACCTCCTTGGCCTTTTTTGCATCGGTGAGAGGCTTATCTACTAAGTCTGGGGTCTTTTGAGGACCCAAGAGCTGAGTGGTAAGGGCTGTCATGGTAGAGGCCATTTCATCTAATCTCTTAGCCATGTCATTGAGCTGAGCATCTTTATCTTTCAACTACTGAAGCAAAGCACGGATATGAGGATTTTCACTCCCTTCCTCCTCTACTTGCATGTCCAACAACTCATCTATATGAGGGTCTCCTAGAAGAGAGGATCCTCTTTTGTTATTGTGGAGAACATAGATATCCTCTTCATCCATAAGATCATCCTCATCAGGATTAAAGTCCTCGAGCAATTTTTTATGTTTTTCTTTCTCTTTTTCCCTCTCTTCATCCTCATCAATCTTCTTAAGGCTATCTTTCAGATACTCCATTTCTTTAATGGTTTTGCCTGTTGAGGGGTTGACATGAGGGGGATGATACTCTTCATAGCTATTGACCTCCATAGGTGCTTTCCCTTTGTCTTTGGGGTTAACATGGGTAGGAGGGGAAGAGTGTAACACAGATGGAGCTACTATCTTGGGTCTCCATGCATTCTTCACCCCAGATGTGGAGTTTTGGGGTTTTTTATTTCCTCTTGCTATCTCATCTAAAGGTGGAGTCTGAATGCGACCCCCGGAGAGTGACTCATCATGGGGCATAAGAAGTCTATCTTCTTGTGAAGGCCTTCTAAACCTATTGAGTACCTCAGATCTATTAGAACTAGAAAGGGAGGTTCGAGGGACCACTTGGCGATCAGGGTGATCAACCTTTGGTCTACCATGGACCTAATTTGGTGCTACTGAGTTCTCAAACAGAACAATCTACTCACTAAACAGTCTTTTCTGGTGAGGCTTAGAATCATACCCATCTGCCAATGCTGACACTGCTGGTTACTTGGAAAATACGTCTGTCCCTCTGGGATGGTTGAACAATCAACCTACTATCTTCAGGATCCCTATCCTCTCTCAAAAGTAACTCAGCAAAATCCTTCCCTTGTGATTGTGTTTTCATAGCCTTGATCACCTCCCCCTTTGTTGTGTGGAGTTGATCAGCTACCATTTGAAATATCCTCCTTATATTTTTCTCCCACTTCTTTCTCCTCTCTTCATGAGTGCTTTTGGAAATTCTAAATGGAGGCCTTGTGGGTAATGCAGCTATCTTCTTAACATCATCCTCTCCCCTAGACACAGAAAGAGGATAAAACCTACTCCCCTCAGCTAATGGAGAGAGGTCCATCATCTCAGTGTCCAACTCAGCTTACTCTTCCTTCTCCATCCTTTTTTTAAATCTCTTGTATTTATTTCTTTTTTGAAATTTAGTTATAACATAAATAGAACTGCCACCTTCCTCATACTGACTGGGCTGAAACAAACCCCCAGGCTCTAGAACACTTGGGATAACTACTAGAAACTGATTTGGCTCAAGTTCTTTCTTAACAAATTTCTGCTTAAGCAATAGTGGGGTCAAAGTTGTTTGTCTTTCATCTGACTTCAGGATCTTTAGAAAGGTCAGTCTATTAAAGACAGAAGGTCAAGAGGCTAGAGCTTTTGGAGACAACTCAGCCACCCTCTTCCTACTGCTATGAGTAGGTAACCTCTCCCTGGCGGGCAAATTTATTTCCAAAATTTTCTTTTCACGTGAAGGTTGGTTTTCCAAGGACCTAGCCTTTGAATGTGTAGGACCCTGGAAAAGAACCTCCATGTCTTCAAAACCTTCCCAAACTTGGTCATGTCCCCAGGAGCAAAGCAGGATGATCAAAAGACAACTGCAACTGATCATCAAATTTGAAAATCAGTTTTTATTCCATTTCTGACTCATTGAATTCTCAGACAACTGAATCTCAAAAGTTTTCCTGAAATTCAAAATTCCTTATATTAATCTTTTTGTTGAAATTCAAAAGCGCTCTTACATTTCTTTAACCTGTAGCAAAATATCCGTGACTTGTGCCTCCAGGTTTTTGACATGCTGATCTTCATCCCTAGCTCTGTTGATTCGTCTAAATCCGAATCAACTGCTGTTGAACTTTCCTTTCTGGAGTCGCGAGCGAACTATGCTTCTTTGATAAATTTGATATCATGAATGCATTGATGCGATGTGTTTGCAATCGACGAAGTATAGATGATGAGACCACAACCAAGGCACCTTGACATTTGTTCCCCGCGACTTTGTGTCTGTTAGTCGTTATTGTTTTTGCATTCGCTTGGATTTAATTTTGAAGTGCACATGGAGGTCAACAGGAACATTAGCAGCATATTTGGTGTCAGATATTTCTTTTACATTTTTGATAAAAAAAGTACTTGCTATCATGAAACCCCGAAAGAAAGAAAAGAAGAGGGTAGTGAAGTATAAGGGTAATCGTTTGCAACTGAAATCTTCTTGCATGGTACCCTTGAGAGTTTTTTGTGGGTTATTCTGTTAATAGTAGCTGTTGAATCCTTCTACAAGTTTCTAGTTAACGCTCCTCTGATTGTCCTGCAAATCTTTGCATGGATAGTTGTCTTTCATATTCTAGGCGTATCTCTGCTTGGTTTTCTGTATAAGTCGATGAATTTGAAGGCATGCACTATAAATGCGCTGCTGATGGTGTGATAGAGGCAGCTTACTCAAGAAACCTGTGTTAACTATGTCATGGATCACTAGATAATTTATTCTACTGCTCTATTTTATATGCTCACCAGCGCTGATGTTGATGCAACTTATCATCATACTAGCATTCATATTCTGTTTTTACTTCGTTTTCTTTTACCACAACTTACAATTGCTTATGTTATTCCTCTGGACTTTAGTTACTCTTCTGCTATAAAAACTCCAATCACTTGCTACTACTGTTTTACCTGTTTCAGTTGGAGCTTTTATATCATTATGTTAGATCCAATTAAGCCAACTTGTTTTCTTTTTTTTACCTTTTCCAGTTTTGTAGATCTGAAGAATATATCAGCTTCAATTTATAGCGTGGAACTTTGTAATCGATTGCGTGAATTTCTTATTGCATGTCCCCCCACTAGTCCTTCACCACATGTGGTAGACCTAGTAATTGCCGCAGCAGATATTCAGAAGGATCTCATTAACTGGAATATATGGTAATTGTGGTGATGACATGTAGTTTTACTGGATGTTCCATTCTATACGCCGTTACACCTTAGCTTTGCATGGCTTACTTTTTTATTGTTTTTAATAATTTATGCAGTCATGTAAAGGGTGGTGTTGATGCGAAAGAGCTCTTTCACCTGTACATTATAATCTGGATTCAAGATAAACGCTTGCAGTTGCTGGAGTCATGCAAGCAAGACAAGGTATTTTTTGTTCACAACATACTCGAGGATGCTATATTGTATTAACCGCATATCTGACCTTATTAAGTTGAAATAAATAGTCTAAAAACGCCCCAAGGAACTAAGCATCTCAATCATTTAGTGAACCATCTTGAAAAATTGGACAAATAGAGAGGAGTGATATTTTGTTGGAGGGACACTTGCAACAGTCTTGGATGGACAAAATAATTGGGTTGAGTTTTTGGGCAGTACACAGTTCTGCTCAACCTACACAATTCTTTGGCAACAAAGAATAACCCCTACAATAACCACTTATTGCAAATGCCCACCATCAAATGGGGAGTAAGTTCCCTGCAGCTTATCCATGTGCAAAAGAATAACTACAATTGTTGGATGAGTTTAGGACGGTTGTGGGAAAGTAGACATTAAAATAAAAAAATGGCTAATCTGAGGTGGAGATTTCTGGAGTTCAGCATAGGAGATAAAAGCAATACTCAAGAAAAGCCCCCTGATTTAGAGGATCTCTTAAAAGATGATACATCGCCAGTTTGTTCCATAGTATGATGGATACCTAGAAGATATTGGGAAAAAGATTTTGCTAGATAATTCTTGAAAATTTTCATGAAGATCTGGAAGAACCAAGTAGTTATAAAGCTTAGAGAGCTCTCCAACCAATTTTGCTAGTCTATTGTATGCACGATGAGTTTCCCACTGTAACTCGTAAGCACTTGCACTTGATACAGTCACTTTGTATCTTGCTTGTGGACAATAGACTAGGTATACCACGAGTCTTCTATAGTGGCCCGTGGATGCTTGCATTTGTTACATTTCATCTGATATTTACTTGCAAATGAGACATAATGCATATGATGCGTCTCCTACGACCCCGTAAATATTTGCACTTTACCACATACCATTTGCTCTTGCTTGTAGGGAGCCAGTATATTTGCTTAGCAGTGGATTATTGCTGATTGTAGGAGTATTATAACATTCACTACATGTTGTTAATTGCTACCCATAGGTATATTGTTCTGCACCCGAATGTTCCTTCTATCATTTCTTATGAATAACACCTCACATGAGTATCCATATGCATTGGAGACTCATCATCTCTGGAGCATATCCCCTTCGTGCACATTAGCTAGCAAATCATCGCATTCATTAGCAGCCTACCATGCTTATATGTTTCAACTTTTCGTGTTTGTAGATAACTACTATATTCATCTACGAGCTGGTTGACATTGATTGGAGGGAAGCCTTGCAATTCATTTCATGTTCTTTATATATTCTTTGTGAATATGACATCCATGATTAAGATGAATAACATGCACTCATGTTATATACTCCCTATAGGTTGATCGTTATTTGTTACATTAGCTCACAAGTAGGTGTTTAGCAATTCAACATGAATCTTATGATAACTCAGTGATCTTCATATGGTTTGTTGCTTCTGAATGGGACGTAAACTTTTAATTCATCATGAGTCGTTGTATATGAGCAAGTTCTTACACCTTCAATTTGATTTGTTAATGTTCATTTGTTTGATCAAACTTATCACTTGCCTTAGGCTCGAAGTTCAAATTCCTTGAGTCCAGTTTGGCTCCATAGTACAAGTTCAAATTAAGTTCTTCTTGGTTGAGTTTTATTCAACCTTTGTTCTACTGTTCAAGCTCAAGTCCCACTTAGCTCAAATTTTGGACCCTTGATTATTCATTGATCTGTGTTTAAGTTCTTATATTTGGTTCAAATTAAGTTAAAGTCCATATTTGTAAATCCTTTTATGTTCAAAAGTTTGCAAGTTCAATTATTCAAATTGAATTAGATTTCCTTTCATTTGTTCAAGTTGGAGTCCAAGTCCCTTGTAGTCATATTGAATTCAAACTTTGGTCCTCAACTTGTTCATTATCATTTTAAGTTTGAATCTAAGTAAAGCTTATTTAATGTTCAATTCATATCCCAAGTTCATTCTGTTTTAGGTCCACTGTCATTCAAATTTTGTTCTGGTCCCCTGTGTCTTCAGTCGGAATTTCGGTAGCCTCCCGACGTTTCCCCCATTTAGGGGAAAAACCAAGAGGTAAACTTCCCCTCCACGCCGCATGAGCGCTTCATGTTGATGTTCATAGACACCGCAACTGCATTTTCTTCAATCCCCAAGACGCTACATGAGCGCTTAGGGGTCTTCAGTACCTATTGAAAAGATCACAGTCGTTTTCCAACGTATGAGTATTTATTTTTATCCCCTTCACGCTACATGAGCGCTCCAGGAATTACTCACCTCGTTGCAAGCGTTGCACCGGTTTCCCTCCCCCCATGCTACGTGAATACGTAGGGAGGTTTTCTAGCTCATCGCAAGCATCGAAAGCAGGATTTAAGTTAGAAATTTTTACCTTTGCGAAGGGTGACGAAGATGATGGTGTTGGCTCGTGGGTCGAGGCAAGGTAGGAGAATTTATGCTTCTTCTTCTTTTTTTAATTAATTATAATAATAATTAAATAATTATGATTGATAATTAATTACTAATTATTAATTAATTATAATTAGTAAATTTATTGTAATTATAATTAATTAATGATTAACTATAATTAATTGAAATTAATTATAGTTAATCAAACAATTATAATTAACGGGTCACGTCGAACAACCACGAAAAGCCGAAGGAACACGCAAGGGAAAGAGCAGAAAAAAAAAAGAGTCAGGAGCCTTCATTTTCCTTGGTATTTTACGACGCGAGGAGTAGGTCGTGGCGTTATGGTGAGACGCGACATCGCACGTGCATGGGATGGCGACGACGTGCAAGGTTCGGCGCATGGCGACGACGTGCAAGGTTCGACGCAGGATAGGTACGCAATTTGGATTTTTTTTTGTACACAGTTACGGGTCAACAGGAGTTTATCCTTCTTAGGATAGTGATGCATTGAGCCAACACATAGTTTTGCTTCACTAAAAAGTAGGCTTTTAATAATATTGTTGCGCATATAAACACACAGGTTTAAATTTAGCTTCGAAAATGTCATTGAATACCATTGTTGAACACAGATTAAATTCTCTAAAATGTCATATAGTCATCCATCAATGTTATGGCTCTGTTATAACAATAAGTCGTCCATCAAGATTGCATATAATCTTGTGTAACATGACTGAACAAAGCATACTGAAGAGGATAGACATTTTATAAATAGAAGTTAAACTATGTTCTAATATGTACTCTATTTGTCATCATAGATGAGAAACTTATAAACATTCTCGCAAATGGATTATCAACAATAATATTTCAAAAATTGACATTGAAACTTCACTTCTTCTTTTTTTCTTAGAAGGGGAGGGGGTCAATCTCTATTAATGATTCATTATTAATTTTGCCTCCATCAATACTCCATCAAACCTTGTAACTATTTAACTACCTTATTCATTTTATACCACCTTAATTATCCTTGGAATTATTAGTTATACCTCATCAATCTACGAATTATTATAATCATTATTTTGTTAGACGTTTTCGCCTATTGAGGAGGAAGAGGCGTTTCTTCCTGTTTAGGCAGAAGAGGATTTTCTGACTGTTTAGGCAGAATAGGTTTTTGCATGTTTAGGCGGAACAGGCTTCCGCCTGTTTAATTGGAGTGGGCCCAGCAGTCCAGTAGCAATCAAGGGAAACATTTAAGAAGAAATTAAAGAGGGGATTAGGAGGGAAAATTAAATTAGGAGATTGTTTTGGTATTAACTATATTTTATATGCTTTAAATATATTGTTTACCCTAGGGTTAGGTTTTATCCCGTGTTTGCAAAAATTTGGAGAGTTCTTAGGTTTTATTTGGGCTATTGTTGCTGGCTAGAGATTGGGAGAGCCAGATTTTCCACTTCAATTGAGGATCCAACTATATCTTCTTATTTTCTTTTGAGTTTCTTGCAATAAATAGTTTTGTGGTGTGTGTTCTTCCCAATTTTTCATTATAGCTCGCTGATTTGGTTGAAAAAGCACCTACTTATTATCAATTTGGATGTAAGAGCCCCCTACTTCCTATCATATTCCTTGTTTTGATATATTTCCTATTAGAAGCTCTCCTAAATTGTATAAATATTACACAAATATTAGAATGAAGCACACAACATATTCTCTCCAATTCATGTGTGGATTAAAGTATGAGAAACTTAGTTTGCATTCACATTTTGCCTTTTTTTAGTTTATTTTTGGTGTATATAGTGCTATCTATGTGTTTTTCATCAACATCCATTAAATTTTATTTAGCCGGATTCTTTGGTGGGATGATTTTTCCATACGGTGTTTCAAATTTCTTACATCTACCAGGGTACTTCTTAAGTCCTAATAGTTTGCTCTAAGTCACCCTTAGGTTGTGCAGAGCTGCAATAATAGCTATGACCATTACGAACTTGGTTACTTAAAGGAAACAGTCTTTTGGTCATTTTTGTTTCATGCTTTTCGGTGAAATATTAACCTTGTGCTTTTTCTATGTTTATTCCGCTTCTTATGGCTTAAATGGGCCTCAAATGTTTATCTACGATCTGCTCTATCATTAATGTTTGGCCATTGATTTTTTTTTTAATTTTTTTTATTTTGCTTTTGTGCAAATATATGCTTACATGACGCAATGGAACTTTGACTAGGTAAAATGGTCTGCTGCCACAACGCAGCATTTGACAACTCCATTTGTTGATGAAATCTATGACCTACTGAGGAATACTCTCAAAGAGTATGATGTTATCATTTGTCGCTGGCCAGAATACACTTCCCCTCTTGAGAATGTGTGAAAACTTAATCCATTGCTTTATAATTGAATTTCCTTACTTTCTCATCTGTGTTTTATCCAGCTTTTGATGTCTTCTTATGGATTCATTCTCCTTTTTTCCTTCAAAAATAAAAAGGTAATTGCAGAAGTTGAGAAATCAGTAATTGAGGCTTTAGAGAGGCAGTATGCTGATGCTTTAGCTCCCTTGAAAGATGCTCTGTCACCCAAGAAATTTGGACTCAAATATGTGCAAAAACTGGCGAAACGCAGTCATTTAGGCCCTTATACTGTGCATGATGATGTGAGCTTTCTTTCTGCGTTTCTGTCTTTCCCATTGTGCATCTGCTATATTTCTAAAGTTTTGATCTTTTCGTCAGCTTGGACTTCTGTTGAATAGTATTAAAAGATTGCTTGATGTTTTGCACCCCAACGTGGAAGAGCATTTTAAGTCCTGGGCGTCTTATGTGCCTGCTGGGGTAAATAATTCTGTTGGCGAACAGCTTAGTGAAGTTACAGTGACACTAAGAGCAAAGCTTCGAATCTACCTTCAAGCAATTGTGGAAAAGCTTGTGTTGAATGTGAGTACATTCATATGGAAGTATTTAAGTTGAATGCTCTTCAATTAATCACTTGTTTATATTTGAAGAAAGTTTTTAGGTAATGTCATCCTACATCAAAAACCTTGTGCCTTGAGTTTTGATGAATAATCTATTTGGAAGCAAATGAGATTACATGCTTGTTTATGTATTCTATTGATGTGCTCTTGGCAGTAATTACTGGCAGATCATCTTGAAGGCACAGTAAGTGGAGTAAATGGAGCTAGAATGATCGTTACATAGTTCTATTGCTTTATGCCTTCATATATGCAAGCGAGCTTGTAGTCATGTTTTTACTAGATATCATTTTTACCAGTGTGATTGAATGATGAATAATCATAAACAAAGTCAGGCTTCTCATAAACTTGTTTCAACATATACATTACAGAGTCATTCACAAAGAGCTACAAAATTGAAGAAGATTATCCGGTATTCAAAGGACTTCATGGCCGAATCTGACATCAGGAACAGGATGCAACCACTGAAGGATCAACTTGTAGAGATAATATATCACCTTCATACAATTTTTGAGATGCCCGTCTTTGTGTCATTATGCCGATGTTTCTGGGATAGGCTGGGACAGGTATCTCATATCACATAGGTGTTGTATTATTCTATGAAACATGAACTCTCAAAAAATCCTTCCAAGTTCATGTCAAATGCCTCTATTATATGTTCATGCATTGAAAATCGGTTTTAATTTGTGTTTTTTCCCCCAAAATTAGAGCTTATTAGTAATTTAATGTTGCGTTGTTTTAGGATGTTCTAACATGCCTAGAAGATAAGAAGAACAGATCTTGGTATAAAAGTGCAAGAGTCACAGTTTCTGTAAGTAATGCCTCATTTTATCTCAAAATCTAGCATTTTAGATCTTGATCAAGATTTCTCATCTTACTCTACCTTAATGCTCATCTTTTTAAGTTTAATTAGAAGTTTGTAATGCAGATTTTGAATGATACATTTGCATCACAAATGCAACAATTGCTTGCAAATGTAGTGGAAAAGGATATGGAGCCTCCAAGTTCCATAATGGAAGTACGTTCAGTTCTCTGTAAGGATGCTCCGAGTCATAGGGATTCCAATTTCTATTACTAGAATTGTTCAAAAAAACCCCAACTGGTCATTACTCGTTGAACAAATTTATTTATTTATTTTTTCAATATTTGAGCATAGGTAGAGATTGTACAAATATTAGCATTTTTTCTGGAGTTATATAGGAAGGATATAGTATAGTTGAAAGAGATATTAAGGAATCCATCCAGTTTTGCTCATTGGCTGCTGGACTTCATTTCATCTGTAGCAGTTAACTTTATGATTTTGTGGCTTTGCATTCAGTTCTTATCTAGGATCAAAATTTATGTAAACAGATGCTTGCACTTTAATTAACTTCCACTTCCATTGCAGACATCTATTTTCTTTTGAAGTATGAGGTAATGTTTATTACTGGTTTTTTATTCATTTCATCTCTCAGAAAATTGCAGTTGAGATGCAATTGCTGCTTTTAGTTGTAAGAGGATTATAAAACAATTCTTTTGCAGTGATTTTGCGGATCCCGCGTAGTGAGATAAAAACTTGATGTTATCGTTATTGTCATCATCTCTTTGCATTGATTTTATTATGATTCACAATTTGACTGGAAGTCCTAATTGTAGTCATTAATTCAAAACAGCAATGTTGTAAATATGTAATTTTGTTAGCCTGAGAGCATTCTCATAAAGTGTTCATAGAGATGAAATAAAAATGCTTTAGGATATTATCTAGTTTGAATAAAAAAGAGGAATATGGTTGATCGGCGCAACTTAGCTTGATCTGTTGGTTGAGAGCTTTGACTATTAATCAAGAGGTCTTGAATTTGAGTATTGTATATGTGATGTATGTATGAGTTTACCTTAAGTTTCATTTGGGACGGTTTTCTTACTGCTTCTTAAAACTACTTTTTAGTGCTAAAATTAAAAAATTTGTAAACTAATCAAGTCTCGCATTTATATTCTTATTTTTTTAATGACTATTTATTTACTTTGGGTGTCAGTGTAAAATATACTTTTTCCTAGCTTTCTTCATATATTTGGTCTATAATGGTTTGGACTAACTCTTAAGAAGCTAAAATTTTTGTCATTAAAATATAAATAATATGAAATTAACCATAAGGTAAAATATTTGTATAAAACTAAAAGCAAAAAAGAAAATCAATAGCCTTCTTATGGGGCTTGAAGTGTGAATTTAGTGTTTGATTGGTTGTCTTATTCACAAGAAAGTGTTTATATAGATTGTTTCAAACCTACACCTTAGTTAATAAACATCATATTCATAGTTTTATGAGCTTTAATTAAAAAAATTACATTAGTGAGTCATTAAGCATATTACTCATAGTCAAGCATCTTAGCATTATGGAAATCATTTCTATAAGCTGGAAGAATGTTTTGGTGTACAGCTTATGGAAATCATTTCTAACATCCCGATCAATAACGGTCAGAATTCTGATCAATTGGAATTAAACTGTAAGTTCTCGGGAAAATCGATTACTGCTCTTGCTTTTGAAGCTTCACTGGAGAAAAATTGCTCTGTGAGCAATGCGACGATGGGGTTGGCGGTGCCCCAGCGTTGAGGTCTTAAATTTTTTGATAAAAAAATGGATTTGAGTGAGTGCTTTGGTGCTTGACAGCTTCGCCGTAGCGACGGGTCTCAAGTAAGGACATTATAGGAGAATCTGGAAATTTCAAGGAGTGTAGCGACACTGGAATTAAAGTTGAATGTCGTGGTGCTAGTTCAGAATAGTGGATATTAAATATTAAAATATCTTAATCTAATTATTCCATGCCATCCCTCCCAATTCCATTTGCCTTGGCGGGAAGGAAAGAAAGGAGGAGAACAGGTAGAGAGGAGAGGAGAGAGAAGGCTTTTTTGGGCTTATTTGTCCATTGCTTATGTTATGAAAAGTAATATGATCATTGTATGTTTTTTTATTATTTTCAATGATTTTGAGTTTGGTATATTTCTCTCTCCTAAATTTGATAAAAAAAAAAGTGGTATCTCCCATTCTAAAGATATTTCACTATGTAAGTTTTGAAATGTGATAGATATTATTATCTGATTGTTTTGACTAATTTATATTAAAATTTAACCATATAGTTTGGCATATATGACATTTTATTTGAAATCAGAAGAGTAAGACTGGGTACAAAATGATCAGGAGCTAATATACTAAATTTGGGTACAAAATGATCATAAGCTAATGCACTAAATCTAGATATGAGACACGATATGCATATAGTTATTATACATTTTGCATAATACAAGCATATTGATGAACACAATGTCTAGATCTAATGCATGATGTCTATGTGCTATTAGGACATACATGATATAAATTAATGATGTTATATATGTAAGAACTTACAAAAATGAATAAACCGATGTACAAGATGAGATAGATGGGATTGATACTGATATAATTGATATGAGACTATTGATTAATATATGACTAACAAGAGGTTGATGACGATTGTAACTTATAAGATAGATGATAAATAAGATTGATAAAAGATGAGACTGATGTTATTCCTTAGTTATGTATTACATTTTCATTATTACGCATTTCATGGAACTCTGAAGCTTTGAATTGAAAATGAAAGTGCACTTTGGATTACGTATTAGGGCCCAATGCAATTACATCTCTACTATGGATTACTCTATTTTGTGTTGGCTCTAATAACTTTAATTTGCAAAAATACATTATTCTTCTTTGGCTCTGCTTTTCACTTGATTATGTGTTGGCTTTGAATTAATAACTTTGTGCTGAAAATATATTCTGCTTTGCACCAACTCTATGTAAGTGGGAGGTGGTAAATGTGACTTATGTGGACATTGATGAATGTGTATTTCTGTATTCATACTCATATGTTAGTTTAACCTAATAGTTTATATGTACATTCTGGATGATAGATATGATGGATGACTAATGAAATGACAGATAGGTGAAGACTAATGATAGTTAATAGATATTACATATATGATAGATAGAGTGATGATAAATATGATAGATAATTCGATAATATATGTGATTGATTGAAGAAAAATATCATAGACTGATAACAGATAGGATAGATAGATCGATAAAAACTATGATTGATTAATGATAGATACAATAGATAGATCGGTGACATATATGATAGATAGATTGTTGACAGATATGATAGATAGATTGATAGTAGATGTGATAGATAAACTGACAAAAGATGTGATAGACTGATAACAGATGTTATAGAACGATGATAATTGTAATAGACTGGTACTAAATATGACAAATATGATAAATAGATCGATAACATATATAATATATTGATGATATATGTGACTGATGATTGATGACTGATAAGACTAATGATTGATAAGGCTAATGATATGTGAGACATGAGATATGATGATTGATTGATTGATGATATGATTAATTGATGAGAATGATTGATTAACTAGCATAATTGATATGTAATTGACTAATAGGGTACAAATATGACCATATGATATAATATAAGGATATGGTTGATATGTATAAAATAATACTATATATTAATTACATGATATACAAAAATTGTTCATATTGACTACTACATGTTTCCAGAGTTATATGTTTACTAGTTCTATTTAATGCATTGACTTCAGTAGTAAATATTGGTAGCTTGCTGTGCTTTTATACTTATTATTTTCTTTTTACATATTTTCAGATAAGGGTAAGGATCTTGTAGAGGTAGGATGGTGTAAGAAGCAAGCTTAGGGTTTTTCTGTGTCTGTTAATTTTTTGTTATTTTATAGTCATGATGTATTTGCAGTGATAGACTGTTATTGGTTGTACATCATGATTATTATATATATTATTTTGAGACTCTAGCTCAAAACTATAAATATTGAATGAATATAAATGTAATTATATTTTCCACTATTTTTATTTTTTGAATGTAATTTGTAAGCTCTAATTCTTGATTGAGATGATAAAAAAATGTAATTCTTCTAGATTTAGATTATGGTGCATTACACTAGTAATGTTAGTAACTTCAACTTAGTTAGTGTTATTACTTTCGATAATATTCCCTTTATAGCCTATTTAGTTTAAGTTAGGGACTATTTTTTCCCTTTTTTAAGTATTAGAGGAGAAAAAAAAGTGATAGAGGAAAGGCTTAAAGAAACAAGAACAAACTCACCAAGAAGCTATGATGATTGATGTCTTTGCTCTCACTAGAAGGTAGTATTGTCATGTTCTCTCTTTTGCTAGAGGAGAAGAGAGATTGAAAATATAATAACCTAACCTTCTAATTTCTCACTTAGAACCTTTAATGTTGGAGTATTATACAAAATGTCTTTCAAAATGTAGGGAGTAAAGATTATCATTGAGAGGATAAATTAGTGCTAGAGTATTATACAAAATGTCTTTCAAATAATAGTTCACAAAAATAAATCTACCAAGGTAGGGGTGATTAAAGCTATAAATCCATGGTTTCCCATAAAGTAGATAATATCACATGAAGGAAGATAAAACTCATGAAGTTCATCACTCTGATAATAATAGATATAAGTTTACCAAATAGCTAGCAATACAAGCTTTAGTGGTTAGCTGTGGTTTTATGTTTTGCCGAAGGATAGTGGTAAGTAAATAGATAATTCTTTTTTGTGGTTGAATACTAACACCAAAAGTCCCTTGAGCCTCTTACTCTTTATGTTATAAGTTATCTTTGTTGATGCCAAGGGGAAATCCCTTGATCCCCTTATTGTTTATGATTTGGGGGTGTTTTCAGATATCACAGAGGAAGCTTCTTATTGGCATTTAGATTCAGTGGGCTTCATTGGGACGTATACCACTTGGAGTTGTTAGTTGTTTATTCATTGAGTTGGATCTTGTAGAAGTGGATGTTAGAATATAAAGGGATCATATTTGAAGATGATAACGTTAATTTCATCAAGTTTCTTCATTTTATATCTAAAAAATCGAAGGGTGGAATAGTTGGGAACTAGTTGGAGGATCTTATTTTTCTTAAATATTTTTATTATGTTATTTTTAATTATGTGAATAGGGTTTGTAATAACTTAGCTAATCTTTGTGCTAACATTCGTCTTAGTTATAGTTTTGTTTGGGATGATGTTAGTTTATGTAGTATTCCTCCTTTTTTTCATTTATTGATGGATGAATATGATTCTATTAGTAGTTTGTAATATTTTTTATTTAATGTTATTGCTTTGGCATCCTTCAAAAAAAAAAAAAAAAGAGTTGAGCTTTGATGATAATTTATCTATGCATAAAATGTAGGGAGTAAAGATTATCATTGAGCTTAAATCCTATAATTTAGAGATAAATTAAATAAAAAAGAATAAATTTATAATAATTTTTACCTAATGTGATAACCCTATATGAGCCTATA